TTTGTGTGCGCGCGCGCGGGCGTGTGTGTGTGCGCGTGTGTGTGTGTGTGTGTGTGTGTGTGTGTGTGTGTGTGTGTGTGTGTGTGTGTCAGTGCCACAGCCAGTGGGAGAGAAAACCGTTTTTGATTGCAGTGAAAATGTTTTTTTTTCTGCAAGGCTGAGCTTCCCTCCTGCGCCGTAATACAGTAGGTGGGTGTAGTTCGGCACACAGAAAATAGTTCCTTCATGAATCTATTCAAAACCACTGATTACCTTTTAGTAGCCGGGTCATGATTTGTTTTTTCTTTGCTCTAACCACCATATGGTGTCATGTAATAAGGCTGATATCTCCAAAATGACCCGGATGTGAAGTAGCACCTCGGCTAACATGATGAATATGTACGTAAGATGTTTTCAATGTGGATGTGTGTCTATTTACAATAATTAAATATAATATATAAAATACATAAGTTTTATTTATCTGTATGAAAAACACTGCTTTTGTTTGCATTGTCGGACTCGCTGTGAAATGTTTTTCCTGTTTAGAAAAGGTGAGCAGCTGGTCAATAATTCTGCACCTGTTCACCCTGGTGGGTAGAAGAGTTTTTGCCTTTTGAGGCACCGGGTCACATTCACAATGACGACCTGACCAACACGAGGCGAGAACTTAAAAATCTGACACATAAAAAAATATGTCAGATATGACGACGTCGTAATGGGTCAGAAATGACTTCCTGTGAGCGCAGCGGGAAGCTTCTCTCTGCAGGAAGCCCGGTGTTCCACCTCATCCCCCTTTGTGAATATAGATGTTTTCGTTTAAGCAGCAGAAGCTCAGTGACGGACTGAAAAGACTCCATTGGGGGGGGGGAGGTCACGGTTGGGGGGTGTGGTGGTCTTTCAGAGGCAGAGAGGGTCATAGCTGCTAAACTCTCTCTGTGCACCTCATTGCTCTTTAGTGGTGAATGCGACTCATGAGTGGTGATTCAACACACACACACACACACACACACACACACACACACACACACACACCATGTTGTGAGCTTCCTGGAGGCGGATCCAGCCGGCTTCGTTGCACCGATGACGAGCCTCCCAGTAGCCGCAGGTTCGTTCCAGACGCTTCGGTTTCCTCTCAAACTGACATTTTCTCTCTCTTTTTTTTTTTTTTTTAACACGGGCACCTGGCGCTCCAGGTACGCCGTGGAGCCGCCTTCTGATGCCAATTAACCAGATGCAGCCGAGCGGCTTCCAGCCCTCGGCTGCACGGGGATTTCGGCGAGGGGGGAGGCCGCCGCCGGTCAACGCGCGGCGGCTCCTTCTGAAGCGACGCGCGGCTCCTCTTGTGACTGTAAGTGGACAGTGAGGACTCGGTGTCACCGGCAGACCAACACGCGGCGCTGACAGGTGACGCTGCTCGCGTTTCCGGCCCCCCTGAGGGTGGGCCGCTATTTAAAAGTTGTGGATGAGGTCATCGGAGGCTGCTCCTTTCTACATTAGCTGCTGTGCTTTTGAACAGCTGCTTGGTGCAGCCTGGTTTCTGGCTGCGAAGTCGGTTATAATTAGGAGTCAAAAAGTAGTTCAGTGTTTGTTTACATAACTCGCTTTTCTCGTGATATTTTGACATTTTGCTCTCTCTCTCTCTCTCGCGTCTCTTCAAGCCGAAAGATATTGCTGATCGTTTTCATTTCAATGTTTGGCAAACCTCATTTTTTCCGTACACCAACGCACACACAGGTCGAAGGTTATTCAGACAGCCGCTCACCATCGAGTCGAGGCAGCTTATTGTCAGCTGTTAAATATCATTTGTTAAATATCACAGAATTAGAATTAGCACCTGACGAAGCGACCGAATGGAGGAAACCGTGGAGCAGTTTGGTCCAAACACACCGGCTGCGTTTCATTTAGTGCCGTACTGACGACGCCTCCACTGACGGATCACGTTGCTCCGTCACTAATTCGCTGACAGTTGCCCCAAAGTGGCCAGGAAGTCCGTTTCTGCAGGACTGGTGACACTTGACCTTTGTCGAATTCTAAAGAACAAACGAGGAACAAATCTACTTTCCTCACACGAGGAAGCAGAGATGTTCCACGGTGTCTGCGCACCTCCCCCTTTTTCTCTCCTCCTGCCAGATATCCGCTCTGTTGAGCTTAATCGGACTCCACGATGGAACCGCCGCCGGTGCTAACGGCGCCGGGTTTCTCTCCTGGAAACAACAAATGCACCAAAACAAGTGTAAATCCCACTCTCAAGGCTTCGGCACAACCCTCCAAGCACCTGACCGCACACACGTCTACCCGTCCCACGTCCTCCGGTGACACCGCGCGGCGCCGGCGTCTCCGGGCTGCAGCGCCGGGCCCGCCGCGACACCTGCAAAGAAGCCGGGCTGGTCCCCCCCGCGGGCAGGACGGCCCGGCGAGTGACGCGCTTACGCCCCGCCCGGTAGCGTAGCGGCTTTTTATGCAAAGCGCAGCCGGCGGCCGCAAACCGCACGCGGCGATGTTCCGCACGCCGGCTTATGCAAATGAGAGACCTTTCACAGAGCATTTACATCACGCCGGGGAATGAACTTTGTGATCCAGCGGCCTGCGTGTTTGCTAGATTTTGGTAATCCAACCCGCTTAGTGTTGCATTACAGAGAGAAGCTGCACTCGGGTGGATCACCTCGTCACCGTGGAGCGCTTCAAGCGTCTGCGCCGCCGCGGCGGATCGACGTTATCCGTTAGTGTTAAACATCTCTTAATGTTTAACAATGTCTCTCTTGCTAAAACAATGACATTAAAACATTCTCACAAAAACAGCTTTGATCCCTGCATTTATTAGTATGTAACGTAAATATGATTCATATAATGACCTTTCCACAATATTCTATATCTGTATTGTGTGAAAGGGGATCAAGTTCCGGTATGATTGTGATTTAAACATGTTTTCATTTCTTTTTTATTTCAATACTGTACACATGACATCTGGGGTGTAACGCTCAAATCCTGTGAGAAGGTTTCCAGTCTTTATCTTCTCCGGATTTCTTCCTATTTTCCCATTTCGGAGGGTTTTTTATGGAGTTTTTGTTCTGTGGCAGGCAAAGTTTTGTGAGCGATGTCCAGATGTTCATGTTTTGTGATATTTGATGTGGTAGATATCAGATGGTACATTTTTAGAGTAGTCATTCTAAATTGATTGCATAGTTTGTGATTATTATGTAATCAAAAGAGTGGAATGTAATGGGAAAATGATATGTGACCCTTTTAAATGCTTCATTTGTATAACCAGTTTATTAGTTGCAAGTGTTAGATCACAAAGGCCCTGACATAAGAACTGATGTCTCCCTCTTGGATTAGATGTTTCCAGCGTCATAGCTGTAGAGACTGAACAAAGTGTTTGTTATGTCTATGACCACCTTTGTTTAAGCATGTTGGGAGAGCAAGGATACGGTCAAAGAACTGACGTGTCTCACATGGATAAGATGTTCCCAGTACCCTGACTGCAGAGACTCAACAAGATGGTCAAAGGTTTCTGTTGACGCCACCGATATCTAAATTTAGGTATAAGAACTGCCTCGATGTGTTGGGAAGAAAAGGAGGTTCTTGACAGTCTACTGACCACGTGGCTGTTGTGACCCTTTTTCCCTTGCAAGGAAATAAACGGAGAAAAGACACACTTGACTCAGAGCCTTTGATTCTTACTTAACGATTGTCTGCAAAATCTTCCACCACACACGTCACGCCACTACTTGTGTTTAGGAAACTCCAGGGGGAAAGTCTATGATCACGTGTGTAATACCTCAAAAAAAACAAATGCACGCGGACGCGTGTCCCTCAAAATGTAATCAATGTTTGACGGTTCCTTTTTCTTTTCGGTGAAAAGGTAAAATGTCTCACGCCGTTATTTTTACTAAATGCATTCTCACTTCTAATCTGCCACAGCAACGTCCTCCTGATTCCACGGAGGTCGTGTTGGTCTTTCAGTGGACTCCTGGAGTCCCTCGTGCTGCAGACACAGCCGTGGTTATCATGGACGGTGGAACGGGACACTGCGAAGATCCTCCTTCCGTCAGCGAGCCTGAAGCTCTGCAGTGATGTAGAAGTTGTTGACGTTGCCTCTTTGGTCAGAAGGCTCTGTTTTGTTTTTAGGGCCTGGCAGCGTTCCCAGGAGAACCCGTTGCAAAGAACGTGCTTGTAATTTAGCCTGACGGGGGGGTGCAGGGATGTAAGGAATGCACACGTTTGTTGTTTGTTTCATGGCTCTGATCCGCGTTCCCCACGACTGCGTCCGAGTCCAGAACCTGGTGCACAGATATACCTGTCGCAGGCGGCGGCTGCTCGCCGCGCAGCTTTGTGACACGTTAGCTGCTCGGCTCTGGAATTCTTTGCTTTGCTTTTCATGGCCGCGAGGTACTTTATGAGCAGAGCTCCGCCGTCACGTTGTTGCAGCATCAGGGACGAGTCACGTTGGGTCGCGGCTCTCTGTCATTTTGTTTTTGCCGCCGACGCAGCGGAGAGAGACAGACGGGATACGACGGGAAACCGCGTTGCAGCCATATGTTTCCAACAGCTTGTCCCCCTGAGCGCCACTTTTGTAATTAATCGTCTCTCTCCGGATTGTTTCATTTAATCAACTAATTCTTTTTCTAAATGATGTTCCTTTGTTAAAAAGAAATAACAATTTCTTTGTTGTTTTTTTTCAGAAAGAAGGATAAAGAAAAAAAAGGGGGGACGGGGGGCTTTGTTTGGGCTGTCGGCCTGAATTTGCTTTAGATTTCGTTCTGTTTGCAAAAAGATCCACTTTGGGTCGGACGCATCTCGGTGCGGAGGCGCGGCGTGCGGCGGTCCCGGAGGAGGCGGCCGGGCTGAGGTGTATCTCACCTCGCTGCATGCTGGCCTGCCATAGGCTGCTGACTGGTGAGCTGGAATACTGGGTGGTGGTGGTTGAGGGAGGGGGGGGGTTGCGCGAGCAGGAGGCACTAGGACCCAGCCGGCGAGGCGGCGGCGAGCAGGCAGGCAGGCAGAGTGGGGCTGAGTCACTGCATGTGTGTGCGAGAGAGGCAGTCAGAAACAGAGGCGAGCAGAGGGAGCAGAGGTGATCTCACACTCATCAGCACGGGATAACACAACCATGATGGGTTGACTCGGGGTTGGGGGGGGCGGCGGCAGGCAGGCGGTTGGAGAGAGGAAGTGTGCGTTCGCCACCACTCGCTCAGCCATGGAGACCAACAAAGTTCTACATTTCGTGCCTTCGGGTAAGTGGATCTCCTCAGCGCGTTGGCTCGGGAGGACCTCGGGGTTCCTTACCTAGTGAAACCTGAGACCTCCCCCTAACCCGCATGTGCCACCACATGTGCAAGCGCACCTCCACTCTGAGAGGCAGATGTTTGGGTCTGTGCGTGTGTCCTGCTGGACGTTCCTGCTGTTCTGTCTGCGGTTTGTGACAGAAATGAGGTGGAGTTGTAGAGCCGCTATGAAGAAGTGCAGATGTTTTTTTTGCTTAGTTTTTCGGAGCATTTTTTGGAGATATAACGTGTGGCGTTTCCAACCCATCCCCCTCCCCTTCCTTCTATGTCTCTTTTTATTTTCATGTTGTTCTCATCTGATATGCGACACGAGAGCTTCATGCGTCGTGTGATTTCATTTCAGGAACTATACTTTTTTAGAAAAGACACCCAGAGAGTGCAGAGCTCCCCGTGCACTTTCCCGTGTAATGCACTCGTGCGGGGGGGGGTGGAGGGGGGGGGCGTCGTGCAAGTGTGCTGTCCAGACGGAGAGTAACGGACACGGCACACAAAGCTCTGTGTGTGTGTGTGTGTGTGTGTGTGTGTGTGTATTGTACGTGTGCACAGTCACACGTGAGAGAGACTTGATTAGTCTCGGTGGCGTCCACAGGGGAGCAACAACCCCCCCCACACACACGCACACACACACACACACACACACGAGGGACCGGAGCCCATTTGGAGGTGCGATGCTGCTGCCTCCCCACTTTCATTTTGTCTGGAAAAGGCAGAGCGGGATACTGCGCCTGTGTGTGTGTGTGTGTGTGTGTGTGCGTGTGCGTGTGTGTGTGTGTGGGGACAGTATGTGGGATAATGCGAGAGCGGGAATATTATCTGAGCGTGTGTGTGTGTGTGTGTGGACGTGTGTGTTCTTATTTGTGGTGCACAACCCTTTGTTGGTGGGGGGGAGTGTGTGGGAATGTAAGCGTGCATTTGTGTGTCTGCCGTGGTCTTGTGAGACGTGTGTGCGTGTGAGGGCTTGCGCGTCACGCACCGTGCACTCTAACTACATCTCAGAGTGTGTCGGGGCGCGATGGACGCTGCTCGTCCTCTGAGGAGTCATTTGCGTCGGTTTGCCGCGTGCTGATTGGAGGACAGATTTGATCCTCGTGGTGCAAACAGGGATTCAAGAGGTGCGACCAGAGGAGAAGCCTGATGTTCGAGAAGAGGCCAGTGGTGTGATCTGGTCGCATGTGTCCTCCACGCAGTCACCAAGAGGCTTCAGATCAGTTCAGATCAGTAAGGGTTCACCCGTTAGAACCAAACCACCAGAACGAGGTCTGAGAGCTTCCCGTTGTCGCGGCCCTCCGTGAGCATCAGCCGCCCGCCTCTTGGTCACGACCACGGTGGCAACCTGCAGGCAGGTGACGGAGACGCGGGACTCTTTGATGCAGCAGTGAATCTCCACGTGATTACACGTCGTCACGATGGCGCAGCCGGTGGCGACGCAGCCGGTGGCGACGCAGCCGGTGGCGAAGCAGCCGGTGGCGAAGCAGCCGGTGGCGACGCAGCCGGTGGCGAAGCAGCCGGTGGCGAAGCAGCCGGTGGCGACGCAGCCGGTGGCGAAGCAGCCGGTGGCGACGCAGCCGGTGGCGAAGCAGCCGGTGGCGAAGCAGCCGGTGGCGAAGCAGCCGGTGGCGAAGCAGCCGGTGGCGACGCAGCCGGTGGCGACGCAGCCGGTGGCGACGCAGCCGGTGGCGACGCAGCCGGTGGCGAAGCAGTGTGGAAAGGTGTTTTCAGAATGTTTCCACACAGAATAGTAGTTTACTTTAGATCGTTATTTGTGATTTATCACTAAAAACTAGGCGTGTAACGATTCATTCACTGAATCGATTAATCGATTTATATTCCTGCGATCCAACGGAATCGATCTGTGCTCCGCAAATCGGCATTCCGGACGGCATATATCGATTACAAATCGATTGAAATGGTACATAATCGATTGTGTCGATACTTGGAAACTGCACATTGGATTTAAGTACAAAATCGGTGTGGTGTGTGTTTGTTTGTTTGTTTTTAGCACTTTAGACGCGTTAAACGTTACTGGATCAGTCTGCCTGTCTGTGACGTCATCAGTACGCAGCGGCAGCCGCGAGAAACTCTGAACAACAACAAAACACAGCGTGGAGGAGACGACTGCGAGCGAGACATTTACAAACCAACTTATCGATCCAGTGGAAACGTTTTGGCTTTTGCAAACACGGAGGTGTTCTAAATAAGTCGGTCGCTGTTTGTAGAAGATGTAGAAGACAAATAAAAAACCACGGAAACACGACGAATCTTTCCGGCCGTCTACTAAGGCGCCGTGGGATTAAACAACGCCGACAGTCAGGACCTCTAGCAGCGTCACCGCTGCAGCAGCAGCAGGTAACTCAGCTCTGCAGACGCCTCAGGCCTCCAGCACCAAACTCAACATCACAGTAACAAGTTTATCTGTAAAGACATGCGACCCTACGATGAGGTGGAACATCCGGGGTTCTGTGAATTGATCCAAACATTGTGTAATTATTGTGTAATGTTTACATTGAAAATGGTTGCACAATAAAAGGTTGATACATTTGCCATTAATTGTTGTTTGCTTGTTTATAATATCCATAATTAATTTAAACCTGATTTCCTTACAAGAAACAACAGCGATCTCAGAAACTTTGCCTGCACTGTCCAGTAAAGTTACTGAATCGAATCGTTCTAAATGAACCCAGATCGTCCATGAATCGAATCGAATCATTGTTAAAATGAATCGTTACACCCTAAAAACGGAAATCGTATTTTTCATATTCTGGGATCAATATTTATTAATCTCCACAGTGTCGTTAAAAGCCAAACAGAAGTCTTGTGCCTTCTGGACATATAGTAAAATATATATTTATATTATTATATCTAAGTCTGAAAGAAACTGAAAAAAAAATTCTCAACATTTCTGGAGGAAATTTACAAAATAATCAATTACATTATGAATTATTCAGCAGTAAATATTTTCAGTCAATAAAACAATTCTGAAAAGTTCCATCACAATTTCCTCAAAGCTCGAGGAGACAGAAATTTCTGGTGAAAATCACCAAAAACCCAACAACTTCATTAATAAACAGCAAATACTTTCATTTGAGAAGACGAGATAAACGACCAATTGTGACCAAAAAACTAAAATCTAAATCCAAATAAACCAAATTTAATATCATAACCGGGTCGCGACGGCCAATCAGTGACCTGCGGAGCCCGACGACATCGGCACAGAGCGCTGTGTGTGTGTGTGTGTGTGTGTGTGTGTGTGTGTGTGTGTGTGTGTGTGTGTGTGTGTGTGTGTGTGTGTGTGTGCGCTGTAGATGTGACAGTGATCTCTGATCAGTATTCACCACTGGCAACAGATCTCAGAGGCTTCCTCCTCTGAGCACAGCCATCTGGGCAGAGGAGAAACACACACACACAAATTATTATACAGTACCACACACACACACACACACACACACACCAGCACTGAGATGCCACCAAAAAAGTCCAACCTAGACACATGAAGACAGTCACATGCACAAGTGTGTTTAGACACAAAAAGGAAATAACAGTAACACACACACAGCGATGGGGTCACACATATTGTCTGTAAACACACTCTCTGTAATTATACACACAATTCTTTCTGTCTTGCCGCTTGCCTGTAGAGACACCTCGCAATTATGTTGATGTGTCAACACGAACACCCATCATGCACCTCAAGGAACACGGAATGAAGAAGACCACACGTTCATTACAATTACAGCTCAATAACGCGCACACACACACACACACACACACACATAAAACACACACACACACACACACGCACAAACACACACACACACGCACAAACACACAAAACACACTCGTATCTGAATAATTGAACCCATAAAATACACAAACACGCCGACCGTCGTGGTCAACGAGTGAGGACGACACTTCCTGTCAGTTAGTCAGATCTTCATCATCATCATCTTCATCACGTCTATTCAACACTGATTATTACAACTACCACCACTGCAGTACTACAATGAAGTACAACTACCACCACTGCAGTACTGTGATGAAGTACTACTACCACCACTGCAGTACTGCGATGAAGTACAACTACCACCACTGCAGTACTACAATGAAGTACAACTACCACCACTGCAGTACTACAATGAAGTACAACTACTACCACTGCAGTACTGCGATGAAGTACAACTACCACCACTGCAGTACTGTGATGAAGTACAACTACCACCACTGCAGTACTACAATGAAGTACAACTACTACCACTGCAGTACTGTGATGAAGTACAACTACCACCACTGCAGTACTGCGATGAAGTACAACTACCAGGACTGCAGTACTACAATGAAGTACAACTACCACCACTGCAGTACTGCGATGAAGTACAACTACCACCACTGCAGTACTACGATGAAGTACAACTACCACCACTGCAGTACTGTGATGAAGTACAACTACCACCACTGCAGTACTGTGATGAAGTACAACTACCAGGACTGCAGTACTACGATGAAGTACAACTACCACCACTGCAGTACTGCGATGAAGTACAACTACCACCACTGCAGTACTGCGATGAAGTACAACTACCAGGACTGCAGTACTACAATGAAGTACAACTACCACCACTGCAGTACTGTGATGAAGTACAACTACCACCACTGCAGTACTGTGATGAAGTGCCACTACCACCACTGCAGTACTACGATGAAGTACAACTACCACCACTGCAGTACTGTGATGAAGTACA